ATTCTAGCACGGTCTTCTAGAGAAAGCCAAAGATATGTCAATTAAATTAGCTGTAGCTCTTTACCTCAGTGTGTAGGGAAAGAGAGTCGCTGGCAGAGGTGCTGAACTGATGTCTTTACAGAAGTTAGGGTTTTTTCCAGCTCACAAATAGAAGCTGGTCCATGGATCTGTTTTACATTTTTAGCTTTCAATACTTACCAACAGGCCCAAATTGTGTTAGTAAAAGTGCTGTTTTTCTCTTTCTGAATTTGTTCAGATACTAACAAAAATATTAATCCTGTAATCAGTCTCTGTAGTGCACTTGCTTTGAAGGAGCTCTGTCAGCATGAGTATTCATCAGATGTGACTTCTTAATTGCTCTCAGAGACAGGAATGTTGTCAGTTAATCTGTAACAACCAGCTTTTATGGAATGACGATATTTCTGCTAAGGGTGCTCCTTCTGCTTACGACTGCCCAGATCAGCTTTCCTAAGGCTGCTTTAAAATTCACATAGTTAACTCTTTGGTGAAGGAATATACAATTGACTCCCATTGAGATTGAACAGGAGAGTTGTGTTCCTGTCCACAGTAAATTACTTTTGAAGAGCACAGGGTTCAGAAAGCATTCTGAAGTAGTAAGCATTCATAAGTAGTAAGGAAAACCCATCTGTGTCTCCTGCGAATGTTACCTTTTACAATTTATATTTATCTTGCTTTTGAAATCTTTGAAATAACTAAGTGATTGCTCAGGAAGTTCTGTTTAACATCTTTAGAGATGACATGGACAAGGGGATCGAGTCCTCCCTCAGCAAGTTTGCAGACGACACCAAGTTGGGTGGGAGTGTTGATCTGCTGGAGGGTAGGACAGCTTTGTAGAGGGGTCTGGACAAACTGGATCAATGGGCCAAGTCCAACTGTAAGAGGTTCAACAAGGCCAAGTGCTGGGTCCTGCCCTTGGCTCCCAACAACCCTCTGCAGTGCTACCAGCTGAGGGAAGAGTGGCTGGAAAGCTGCTTGGCGGAAAAGGACCTGGTAGTGCTGGTCAACAGCAGCTGAACATGAGCCAACAGTGTGCCCAGGTGGCCAAGAAAACAAATGGCATCCTGGCTTGTGTCAGGAATAGTGTGGCCAGCAGGACAAGGGCAGTGATTTTTCCCTTGTACTGGGCACTGGTGAGGCCACACCATGAATCCTGTGTTCAGTTTTGGGCCCCTCACTACAATAAAGACATCGAGGTGCTGGAGTGAGTCCAGAGGAGGGCAATGGAGCTGGTGAATGATCTGGAACACAAGTCTTACAAGAAGTTGAGGAGGGAGCTGGGGTTGTTTAGCCTGGAGAAAAGGAGGGACCTTGTCACTCTCTGTACAACTACCTGAAAAGGAGTTTGTAGCAAGGTGGGGATCAGTCTTTTCTCCAGGTAACAAGTGAAAGGACAAGAGGAAACAACCCTGTGTTGCACCGGGGGAGATCTAGATTGGATATTAGGAAAAATTTCTTCCCTGAAAGAGTTGTCAAGTATTGGAACAGGCTGCCCAGTGAAGTAGTGGAGTCACCATCCCTGGAGATATTTAAAAGATGTGTGGCTGTGGCACTTAGGGACTTTCTGAAGTTAACAGCTAGGCTGATTTCACAAATTATTGTAGAAGAAGATCTAATTCCCGTGATATAACTACTTAACTTGAATCTGCTGTTTATTATTGATTATAACCATTTTCATTGCATTTTTTTCGGAATCTTAAATCTTTAGATTAACAAGTAGCATTTGGGCAGTTTAAGTTCTTTTATTTATAAACACTGTCATGTAGCAGTTGTTAACACATCCTTATCTTTTTTCCCTCCCCTTTTTTCTTCCTTTTTCCTTTTTTTTCCTCTTTTTTTTCTTCTTCCCCTCCTTTCTTCCCCCCCCTTTCCCCCCCTTTCCCCTCCTTTCTCCCCCCTCTTCCCCTTCTTCTTCCCCCTTCCCCCTCTTCTCCCCCTTTCCTCACCTTTCCCCCTTCCCTTTCCCCCTTCCCTTTCCCCCTTCCCTTTCCCCCTTCCCTTTCCCCCTTCCCTTTCCCCCCTTTCTCCACTTTCCCCCATCCCTTGATGCTGGTCACATCATCAAGCCTGACAGAGTTCAAGAAGCATTTGGACAACATTTTCAGACTCATTTTTGGGTTGTCCTGTGTGGGGCCAGGAGTTGGACTAGATAGTCCT